TTATATTAACATATCCAAGAATATTAGTACCTTTTGTTGCATTATCATGATGACAAAAACTATCTTCTTGTAAATATGAACCATAAGCATCTTCTAAAGCAATACCATCATGTTTCATTATATATTGATATGCACGAAAATCTTCTCCACCATCACAACCATTATTACCAAAACCCCATGAACAATCAATTAAATCTATATATTAGAAAAAAAACGCACATATATATATATTTATCTTTCAATTTATTCAAACCTTGTTCAGATAAACGAATCGATGTTCCATACTAATAAAAAGAAACAAATATATATATATATATATAATTTATTAAATTACTTTAACAAAATAAGCGCCTTCAATAGTACCAGTTGTACCAAATGACCAACATGAACCACAAATACCTTGATCTTTAACTGGTGTTACAGCTCCCATAATACGCCAATCAATTGAATCAGGTATAGCTTGATAATTACTAATTAATTCTTTTTTTGGAAATGGAAGTCCACCATTATAACCTTTAGTATAACGACGACCACGAAGTACACGTAATTCATCATCCTAAAATTCAAAAAATTTCAATTTTAATATTGTTTTTTCTATTTTATAACTTACGGTTCGATCAGCAAATTTATTTATTTTCATTTTATATGGTAATGATGCACGATTACGTGTATTTATGTAACGAACATTGTGTCGAAAAATTTTCATACGTTCACGATGTTCATGATCATTTTCATATTTATGTCCATGAGTTTGTTTAAATTTTTCAAATGATGATTCAATATAATCTTCATGATGATGATTAATATATTCACTCATTGGATTAAATAAAACACGAGGAGTTGTATGTTCAAGACCAGGACCAGGAAATCCGGTGCATGACATTGCTTATAAGATAAAAAAAAAAGAAAATCAATAATAAAAAATTAAATTATGTTATTATAATTGAAAAGTATTCATTATTGGCCTTTTCAGACAATTTCTTATCTATTCTTTTGTTTTTTTTGAAAATAGACAAAATACTAAATTAACTTTTAATATTAATCTTTTCTTTAAGAATTAATTGATCAATAAGAAATGTGATTATTATTTTTTCTTCTGTAGAACGAACATTTATTTTTGCGAGCATACACAACACAGTATACAAAACATACTGGGATAGTCAATCCGATCTTTACACTGCATAAATTTCTCAATGTAATATTGTGTGAATTGATTTTTATTAGTTCACTGGTGCCATGTATAAGATGAAATATTTCGATCATTCAAGAGTTTGTTTTTCAAACGGATCTAACGTTCTTCAAAAAATCATATTCTCTTGAGAGCTTTATCAATGACTCAAAAACTTTTATATAATGGAGAAAATAAGTCTTGAATAGTGGTATTTTTAAATCTTGTTCTTGATGGCAATAGTTAGCCAGAATGTTAAAAAATCGTTTGTGTATCTCAAAGAATTGCTTGTTAGGATTAATGGATCCGAAGACTTCAACAAAACTGCTTGGATGAGAGTCTGCAGAAAATGAAGATTTCAAGCTTTTGGAAAAACAGATTTTATTTGAGAAGGTTCAAGAAGCATTCGTCACCTCTCTTTATTGAATATTTCAATGTTTTTGTCATGTTTGGTGCTTCGAAGCTTTCTGTAAATTGAAAACCTCTCATTTGGCTCTATCAAATAAAAATTTTTCCTAAAAGTTTCGAACGAAAGCTAAAAATCTGGTTTTAAGATGTCTTAATTGCGCGTAGATCCTCATTCAAACAGTTTTGTCGGAGTCTTCGAACTCATCAAGCCTAATAGAGAATTCTCTCAGTTACACAAATGTTTTTTTTTCAGATTCTTGTTGGTCACTATACATAATGCTTTTCTATAACGAAATAGTGATCTATGAAAGTCGAATCATGAATCCAACATAAGTTTATTGTTGTTTGTTTTTTTTTACCGTCTGTAATATGAAATATAGCTGGATCAATTGAATCTTCATCATAATTATAATAATCAATAGTATATTTATCAAAATGAGAACCAATTAATGTATCATAACCAAACATTTCATAATGAACTGGATGTTTAGTAACAGCATTAATATAATAAGTATATGTTGATTTTTTATCACCTACTTGATCAATATTTTGATACATTTCACATTTTATTCCACGCCATTCAGCTGGTCCTAAATCCTAAAAAAAAACGATAATAATAATAATCATGTCTGTACAAAAAAAAAAGAAATCAAATGAAATAATATTTAAATTAATTACTTGAAATGAAGATAAATCAGGAAGTGTATGTTGTACATCAACCATATCTTCTTGTGAACCATTAGCTTGAAAACAACTAATTTTATTTAAAACTTGTTCATCTAAATAATAATAAAATAATTCAAATATGAAATTAATTATTTATGAATTCTTATTTACCAGACATAGGTACAATTTTATAATTAGCTCCAAAATCTTGACCACCTTGTCCTTTTCGTTGAATAGTTTTTGCTGCACCTATAATTTAATTTCATATATTTTTGTTTTTCTTCTATTATAAACTAACCTCCATAATAATCAATACGTGAATATCCAGCATCAACATCAATCCATGATTCAAATGGTTCATTTATTTCTGCATAAGGTAATTGAATAACACCACTTACATGATATCTTGATGGAAGACTATCACGTAAAACTGGACTTGCATGTATTGATACAATCACAGTTAATACTAAATAAATAAACTTATAATTCATTATATAATATAATTAATTATAAAGTCTTACATGCTGTGATTAAAACCGATAATTGATACATATTTTAATCTAGAAACAAACAAAAAGAAAAGAAATGTGTATCGAAAAGCTTTGCAATTTGTTTTTTTTTTGTTGGCTTTTTTTCTTATATTTCATGGTCTTTTATCTGTCATATTTCGTTATCTTTAGTCTTATAGCCTTGACGAACAACATCATCATGATGATAATATATAATGATGATGGTTGAAAATATTCTTTTTTTTTTGTTATGTAACAATCAAACATTGTTATCATTTAAACAATAGTTATTCTGATAATAAATATTGATAATATATATATAGAGAGACTTGTGTTTTTTTTTGTGAAGGTTAATTTGAATTTTTATCAGAGTATTATGTTATATATTTAGACATTTTATTTCAAGAAATGAAATACAAATAGTTCAGAGAACTTTTTTCTGAAGAATAGAAACAAATTTTTTTTCTATTTTTTAGTTTTTCATCGTTATTGTATCGTCATATTAGTGTTACTCTGTCAAATACCATAAAAATCACAGTTCATACTACGATTATTCTTTGTATGCAAAATTCTTCTAATGATAATTTCTAAAGATGTTGATAACATCGATCATTTTAGTCGAAAAAGCAAAACATTTTATCGAACTATAGAATAAACAATTATCTAAGAATAGCGCTTATGACAACAGAATAAAATTGAAAATAAAGCTTGTTGAATAATCTGGATATTTATTGTATATATTTTTGCTACTAATGATTGATATGATATGCATACGTTGAAGAATTGTAATACGTTTTTGATTGTATTTCAATTTAATCTATAATTTAAAAATAATAATATTAATAATTATTATCATTAATTAGATTTTCGTTGATGTTGATGAATATGTTACTAATGAAAGTATTGTTCTATGATTTCGAAATCTTGTATGTACTCATGAAAATTGTTTTAGTTATAATTTTAATAATAAATCGAAGTTTGTCAAGAAATTCTAACATTAGGTTTCTCGTAAAAATTGTGTTCACAGCTAATAAAACTTCACAGATGAGAGTAGTAATTTTTCGTTTGGTTTTTTTGCAAATGCACTAAAGCCAGATAAATAGACTTGTAGATAGGTATGATCATATGTTATTATTTTGTTTCTATAATTAATAAAACCAATCATAAAGAACTGAATGTATCAGCTTGCATTTGTCATACAGACTAACGGCATCTATATTATAACTACACTAGTTTAGTTAAAATCTTTACTTTAAAAAAAATGAACAATACATCATAAAACATATCAAAACTAGAAATTCGGTCTAATCACTGAATACTTATTCGAAGTTACATTCGATCGAAGTCATTTCATATAAAACCTTGGACTAATTTTATAAAATCGAAGTTATATTTCTCAAATACGACAAAACAGAATCATTCATAAAATAGCTGATATATCTTTTAAAACACTGCATGATCCAAACTTTAAATTTTGTGTGCAACGACATTGCTTAGGATCAACTGATTTAAACATTTCTCTTAGATCAGCCCGATCGAATTTATTAAACAATGTTTCTTATTTCTAAAGTCAACTTCCAACGAAAATTGATACGAATTTTTTAAGAGAATTGAAATATATGATTAGTAACAGATAAAAAATATCAGTATTCAATAATTATTGAATACATCATCATCAAATATTTCGTAATAAACTTATGTTGTTCAAAGTGTCTACATTATTGTTAGAGTGAGAAATAAGAGCACCTAGTACAACTTTCATTTTAGCTCTCTCTAAATCGATTTGGAGAAATTTACAATGTATTTATTAAAAAAATATTGAATATTTATGATTTAGCTATTCACGCATATATAAACAAAGTTTAGACTTTCGATATAATGGTACATTGTAATTATTTTGACTTATACAGTATTAGTAGTAACATTTAACAAATTCGATTAGATTATTTATACATCGTAAAAAATCATAAAATACTTCAAAGAAAGAAATTTGTATGGATTCATAGATTTGTTTGTTATTTTTCTCAATTTAGTTGTCAATTGGTAATAAAAAAGAAACAGTTAAATTCTTACTTTTATTTGTCTGAAAAAAAAATTGAGCGACATCTCTTTATACTTTCAAGGTAGTTTTCTTTCATTTCCATGACATTATGAATAATTTATGGTTCTTCTTTTACAAATCGTTCAATTTGTTTGTTCTAGATTTTAAATTAATTCATTCTGACTTGTTTTTTTTTAAAAAAAATACTATGACTCAACATGTATTCACTGATAAACATCAATCATCTCGTCGTTCTTCTGATAATCTTGATGATGATCGATCAAAAGTACTATCACATCATTTACCAAAATCATCTAATATTGTCGACAAAAATAATTCATCATTATCTGGAACTATTAACGAACCTGGTTCACGTATTGAATTTCTTGAACGAAATCTTCGTTATATTCAAGAACAACAAGAAATAGTACTTGTTGATTTACATAATGAAATTAGTCGACTTCAACAAGAAAATAGAGGTTTTAATAAATTTAATTCATTTAAAAAAAAAAAAAAGAATTCTTTACATCTAGATCTTCATTATCGATTGATTAAAACTTATTCATTATCTTCAACAGAACAAAAACAAAGAAATATAGATCAATTATCTTCTTCATCTTCTCCAAATAAATCTAATCATGGTATGAAATTTATATAACAAAAAAAAAAGTTTCATAGAATAAATTTATTCTAGATAAATTAGAAAATCAAATTTATCTTAAACAACATATTGATAAACTTGAAAAACAATTAATTGAAAGTGAACAAAAAAATAAATATCTAATGAATACTATTGATGAATTAAATGATACTTTATCATCCAAAATTGAAATACCTAATACAAATATTTCCAATAAAGATGACATTCAAATACCAATACAAACAACGAATAATGAATGTCAACATTTATTTAATATGACATTTGAAAAAGAACAACAATATATACACGAAGTAAAATGATTATAATATTGAATTACTAATTATGTTTTGACCAGAATACAAGATATATATATATAACGGACACTGTTTTCTTATACATATGTTTAAAATCAAAGCTATATAGACCTCGAGACTGAAATGTATGGATATCTAGATCAAGATATAGTGAAACTAAAGGCAAAATTGATATTGATTGCAGGACTCACAATGAAATCATAAGAAGATCTCAATAAGGTTAGAAAACGTCTAAACAAGTCCGTTTCTAAGGATCTTTGAAGTCAAGTTGAAATCATTTTACTGAGTTATCGATCTATCTTTAGAGAAGTATCTGAAAAAAACTATGGACGCCTACGGACACTGCTAAAATCACGAAAAAAACACTTAAGTTCAAAACGAGTATCATATACATATTCATAGCTATTTTGATTTTCAAATAGTACAAGATGTTATATCAAAATAATCATGGATGTCAGTATGATCAGCAACTTTTACGTACACTCAAAAGTTATCCCTGCTTACGAATCATATTTTTGATTTAAATTATGAGGTTTATGGTTAGAACAAATTCATAGAGACTTATAAATGTAGTACAAGAATAGACGCTTAAAATGTAAATAAAAGTTAATACAAAATATTCATTCAATTTTGAGAATATTTTTAATAAGTTCATGAATAACATTTGTCAATGGGTTCTTTCATGCTTCAATCAATTGTATTTTGTAGCTAAACATTTCATTTTGAATTATGTTCATGATCAAGCTATAAAGTCGTAAAAAGAATTCTAAAATGTTACCAAATAAATTGTGGAATGATCTATAAACGAATGTCTTTAAAAAACTTTCAATGGTATATTGACACTTAGTATCTTCATATTAAATTTTTTAATATAAAAAATCTAATTCGCGAGCATTTTGTCGTTGGTAGAAAGATGTTCGTGCCCATAAAAGTTTATATTTCAGTTGAAAACAAACGACATAGTCTAGAATGGGTGTTCGTTAGTGTACGTATTTTAGGTCAAATAATCCGTAGAATATTCTGAAAATTGATGATTAACAAACAGATTCTCAAATTTTGACCAAAGAAATGTGTTTGATATTTTGAATTGATTTCAAAATATGTTTTTTTTTCATTCAGTAGACACAAAGATGTAAGTTATTTTCATTTATTAAGATAGTTAAATTACGATCCGTATTAGTTGAAATTCTCAATACTGAACACTTAAATATAACATCAAAAATTCTTATTCGTGATTGTTTAACATCAACAAATATGAGTGAAAATTCAATAAGTAAAACTACAACAACACCAGTTGATATGTTATATTTTAATGAAAATCAACAACAAAAAACTATTGCTTCATCATCAACAGCTGGAAAAACTTCATCATTTCGACAGTCAGTATTTTACTTCTTCTTCTTCTTTTTTTCTTTCTCTATGTTCTATTATTTATAATAATAACATAACAGAATCAATATATTTAAATAGTGAATTACCTGTTCGACGTTTGAATCTTTCACCACCACAAATAGCTGGACAGAGGTATCGTAATTATTGTTCTTGTCCTTTTTTTGTTTCACTATTGTATTTTTTTCTATCATTCAATTTTTACTAAATATAATAAATATTTTAGATCAAGTAGTCAACTTCGTCCAATTGAAAAACGTATTACTTTACCACCAATTGTGTCAGGAAATAATTCAACATTATGTCGTGGTAAGAATAAATATGTTCTATGCAATATAAATTATTGTTATTCTTATATATATATAGATCTAACAGATGTAAATGGTTTTTTGCATAACTCATCGAGTCCAAAAAATGAATCTCAAAATCAAAATTACATTAAATTTGGTGAAACATCAATAGCTCGACGAGAACGAGCTACTCATGAATTACAAAAAAATAGACTAATGAAAAGTCTTTATCATTAATCATATATTTTTATATGATATATATTTTTGTTTTTTTTTTTGTTTTGATATATGCCAGTTTTTGGTGATATGAAAATTAATTATATTTTGTCCATAATAAATATTAATAATTTATAGTATTGAACTTATTATATAAATTTATAAAATAAAATATTTGAATCAAAAATTAATCTTTTTATTTTTGTTTCAATTGACTTAAGCTTTTAGAACAATTTTAAATTCATTATTTGATGATGTCTATTCTGTTTCGAAACTGATAATGAATGATACAAGAGAATGAATTAGATAATACTATCCATTTGATTGATATTTCAATCGTAGAATTTTTATTGTATGTTTAATGTCCAATATTTTGTTTAGTGAAATACGATCTCAAACGAGTGTTGAAGTATAAGGGTAAAACTTTTGACTTCGTCTCTTTTCCTCGCATCACAAACCATGACAGGGGAGCTATTGATGTATAATCAAATAGCATCTACCAATAACATCTCTTTACAAAATATGAACTACTGCGTTAGTGAAGAAATATGTCACAAAATAGAGAGAATAGAAAAAAATCTTCCTATGATTAATAGCAATAATTGCATCATGTTTCACATTTTAATCCTACAAGGATTGTGTTAATAGCCTGTCGACTATTTCTGAAAAAGATGATAAAATCAAGTGCATATTTTGCATGATTGATAGTGTTTATGAATATATAGATCTTTATTTCTTAAAATGATATATATCACCTCTTATGAAAAACTAATGAACATTGTTTTTTAATAAGGAATTAGTAACTTCTACGACATACGCATGATATTCATCTATACACCATTCTTTCTGTGGACAATGATGAGGAACAGTGAGACACTCACATAGAGCACATGAACAGGGTTTATTGACTATGAAAATGACATTTTTTTCTTGCAAAAAATGTTAATTTTTATTATTTCAAAAAACCTATAACCAATAAAACTACACATTATTCGTTGAAGTTTCTTCCATTGATTTTATCTTAGAGCTCTAAGAAAATGTGGTGAACATTTAGTTTACTAAAGATGCCTTTTTCAATAGTCTTTTAGTATAGAAAGAAAGATTGCCTTTATCTAATGAAAAAGAACTAAAAGAAAATTGTTTTACAAATCAAGAGAGCAAACATCCTACTTACAAAATATATACAATTTACTAATCGACTCTTTTTATTTTATTTGAAAAAAATAAATTTCCTTTTGACGCTTGAGAAAAATGTTTTTATTTTTTGACTAAGATTTTTCTAATAAAATGAAAAGTTAAAATAATTATAAAGATTTATTTATTGTTAGTAGAAAACTTGCAAGAGCTAAAAGAGTGCATAAATATATTTTTCCTAATATGTGTAATATTATCTTATTGTTCAGAAAACCTACTAAGATTTTGTTAAACACATTTCAAAGAAATATTCCTTTTGAATAACTGTAATTTAAGATGTCCTTGAATGTTCTTTACGTAGCATATACAGATAACTAGCAGGCTATTCCTCCTTAATATTATGACTATGAAAATTCTAAGACTCTCTAATCGTCATTATCCGGTTGTATAATTAGAAAAATATTCTTTTCATATCAATGAAAGATGTACGGCATATCATCAAATTGTCAAGGCTAACTTTTCAATAGAAAGATCAGAGAGAAAGAAAAGAATAGTCATTTATTAAATTTTACTTCATCTTTAATTTATGCATTTTTGAAGCAAGTATATAATGTAAGTGGAACAAGTATTCATATCCATTATGTTACATAATAATAAAAATTTAAAAATATCTTCCAACTTATTATATTCAGAAGAACAAGGACAAATATTATTTACGTGAAATTTCTCAATCAATTATTAATAATGGTCAATTTTGAACAAATATTTTCTCTTCTTCGAATTATTCTATTTGCACTTATTACTTTAGTCGCTTTAATTTATGCTATTCCAATTATATTTATTCGTCGTTTTCATCATCGTAACATGATACTTACACTCAATATATGTTCAGTTACCATATTCTGTTCTCTCTATTGGACTATCTTTTATGCAATATTACAATTGAATCCTTTGCTTATTTACAAATTTATGTTAAAGTCATGTACATTCGTAATGATTTTCTCAACATGTATAACTCTTCAAGTTCCTTTTAGTTTTATTACAGCTTCAATTTATCGTTTTTGTTCTGTAGTATATTATAATAAGAATTTATTTAAAACAAAACAATGGGTTTTCATTTGTATTGTATGCCAATGGATATTTGGACTTCTTATGACATTACCAGTTTTATTAGGCATACAACCGGTAGGTATATCTTTTTCTTTTTTCGTATATTCATCTGTTTTCTACTTTGTTCTTTTTTTTTATAGTATTGTGTTACCTCACAATGGGTAGAAATATATAAGTTGATATTTATTGTCATTTTTCCATCAATTGTTTTTCTTATTCTTAATATTTTCATATATGCTACTGTTCGTTCATCATCTCATCGTATTCAACCAAGTTCATTATCGGTGATGGAAAACACTTCTAGAAATATTCAACAGGAAAGAATGAGTCGACGTGATATTCATCTACTTCGACATATGATTATAATGTTTTTAATATTTATTGGAGGATGGACTCCATTATATGCACTATTTGCTATTCAAAGTCAAGTTTTAGCTAATCCAATGTTGTCTAAATGTTTTACAATTTGGTGTCAATTAGCTTTTTTATGTGACATTATTGATCTTTATTTGTACAATCATGAACTGAGAAATTATCTTAAAACAATGTTTTGTCGATGTTTATAATCATAGAAGAAGATATTCATGAATCTTATTTTAAATTAACAATAATTCATAAAAATACTAATATTCAAACAAAAAAAGATGTACCCGCCCAGGTCTATGGATACGGCTATTCGTATTTTCATCGTAAATTTGCTTCATATGACACCGTAAACGGACCGTATTTTCACAGTATACGGGGCGTAATCTCATTATGATAAGGCCGTATTTCTGTGCCCGATATTACGGCCGTATACGGTTCGTTTATGCGTCGTAAGGTAACCGTAAACGGTCGTTTACGGACCGTATCGTTCGATCTGGGTAGAAAATAATCGTTTTCATGTCAGTTTTTCCATAAATAATAAAAGACTTTTTTTCTAAGAGTATCCTAACTCTACAGACAAAAAATCAAGGGGGAACCAGCAGAGACTTCAGCCGTGAAGTCTCATGAAGTCTTGTAAGTCTTTTGAAGTCTTCTGAAGTCTCTTGAAGTCTTTTGAAGTCTTATGAATTATCATAAAGTCTCATAAAGTCTCTGAAGTCTTTGAAGTCTCTTGAAATCTCATGAAGTCTCATGAAGTCTCATAAAGTCTCATGAAGTCTCTTGAAGTCACTTGAAGTCACTTGAAGTCTCTTGAAGTCTCTTGAAGTCTCTTGAAGTCTCTTGAAGTCTCATGAAATCTAATGAAGTCTCATGAATTCTTTTGAAAGTTTTGAAATACATTTAGTGCATGAAAACTCATAAGAAACCAATGAAATTGTCTTGTTTTCGACGATTTTATTTTAGCAGAAAGGTGGACTATTTATTGTTTTTTTTTTTCGATGTGCTGGAAAAAATTCAAACTTGTTTGGTCTTAGTAAACATGATAGTTAATAACTGAATGCTTTTTGAATGAAGTGGTTTATTTTTATAAGAAATGTTCCATCTATCCAAACCAATCTGATAAAGAATTTTAATCCTTTTTGTTTGTTTCTATTACTCGTGATAATCTATCAGCCGATAAACGGCTAGCTTTGTCAGTTAATAACCAACAAGCCGTTTGCTGGTGTATAAATTTAGTCTTGTTATTTATTTGCACTTGAAAATAGGAGTTTTTCATTGCTGGATTAATCGAATCAAATATACGCATACCAGTAAAATTTATTTTCTCAGTTTGTCTGTAATGGTTGGCTGTCTGTAATGGGGAGGGGGGGGGGGGGGGGGGGGGGGGGGGGGGGGGGGGGGTATGTCCGTAATGTTCTCTTTCTCCGTTGCTAACTGTCTGTAATGGGGTGAGGGGAGGGGGAACCGCCAAACCTCGAACTGAAAACTTACACTCACTATTTTCTTAGAAAATATACATGAGTTCCACAAAACAGACTTTTGGGAGCAATCAATTTTCAATATCATTCCTGTTCGTGGTTCTCGGAAGACACTAATTAATCTGTTATGAATAAGGGTGTCAATTTATATTTACTTTTCATTTAATTTACGCGTAAATTAAATGATACATAATTTATATTTATTATAAAGTAAACGGTAAATGATACCCCTACTATTTGATAAGTTTTGTTTTTTGCATGTTATAGAGGTTTCATGTAACTTCTATAAGGTTTTTTGATACGCATGGAATGTGCCTCTTGAAGTCCTGTGAAGTCTTGCGAAGTCTTGTGAAGTCTTGCGAAGTTTTGTGAAGTCTTGCGAAGTCTTGTGAAGTCTTGTGAAGTCTTGCGAAGTTTTATGAAGTCTTGTGAAGTCTTATGAAGTCTTATGAAGTCTTATAAAGTCTCAAGAAGTCCTACAAAGTCGCTGAAGTCTCATGAAGTCCGTGAAGTCTCATGAAGTCCGTGAAGTCTCACGAAGTCTGTGAAGTCCCATGAAGTCCCATGAAGTCCCATGAAGTCATACAAAGTCTTATGAAGTCTTGCGATGTCATTTGAAGTCCTATGAAGTCTTCAGAAGTCTTTTGAAGTCTTTTGAAGTCTTGTGAAAATATGAAGTCACTGCGGCTGAAGTCTGTTGAAGTCTGTTGAAGTCTGTTGAAGTCTTTTGAAGTCTTGAAGTCTTGAAGTCCGCTGTTTCCCCCTTGCAAAAAATAAACCTTAGAGCTCTAAATCAAAAATGAAAATTTAATCATTACATACTTATCAATTTTAGAAAAAAATATTTTATTCAAATACCCAAACTTTAGAATAGAAAAACAACTATGGACATAGATCAACAGTAATTAAAATTTCTCATAGTTGTAAAGATTT